TGGAAGCGGATGCAGTGAAGCTAGCCATTTCTCTCTTTTGCTTTTTGCTTCTCCCAACTACAAAGCAATTGAGCTTCTCTTTTCTTTTCTTTGATAGAGTTCAAATTTCTTTGCTTGTGTTGGCTTTTGGATCCAACGTAGCGACTAAATTAGTGGTGGAAAAAAAAAATCTCTAGGAACCAACACAAGCCATCTAACTTGGATATGATTCTATCTACATTTAACCAATAGGCTCCATCCACGTGTCACATTTCATCTCTTTCCCTCCAACACAATCTTTTTCTTTCTCCTTCTCTACTGGTGTGGATTATAATAATAAGAAACTGCATCCAAGATTTGCACATAACAAACAAAATACTCTGTTGCTATTAAACTAAATCTGATATTAAGCTCTGATAAATTTTGGTGTGTTGTATTGTTGTATCAAAAAGAAGAAAATATTTTCTTTACAAAAGAGATATCGTAAAAGAATGAAGCTAATTATAACATTGACAAAAGAAGAAAAGAATCGAATTGAACCTAAGCTTTGTGGGAACTTGTTGTTCCGAAATCAATCGTGAATGTTGCACCGTTGTATGTATGGATGATGGTAAGGTACATGTATGTTCCAGTACCGCTTGTATTTGTCTATACCGATGTCTAGCCACGGTTTCATGATACCGTCGTAGTGTATAACTGCTGCTTGTTCGATGTCGCTTGCTCTGACTCCTGATTCGTGACCTAACCCAACCATGTTCCATCTCTTGTCCAAAGGTAACATTTGCCCAAAGAAAGTCAACCAACCTATCGGCAAGCTCCCTGCTTTCCACAGATGTCTTTCTACTCCCTGCAACCAAAAAAATTTCACAACCCACGCATATATCTAAGATGTTCCATTGATGGACATAATAACCATTGTTCTTCTACGGAAACAGTGTGAATTGTGAAACTTGATGCAGAGAGGACTAAAAGGGAATGAAATGTTGTACCAGGTCGTAGTATTTCAGGTATGCAGATGTCAAATCCTGTCTTCTCCATTCTTTGAGATCGAAAAGATTCATCCCGAATGCCCAAGTGCAAGCCTTAGGATCAAATTTCTGAGCAACCCATGCATCTGAGAAATTAATGAATGTGTCCATCGAACAAAATGAAGGTTCACCTTCGAGACAAGTCTCTACAGCTCCAACAACTCTTCCATTCATGTCAAGGCTCCACAGTCTACTTAGATCTTTTTGAACTACTACATCATGGTCAAAGAGTACGATCTTGTTCAGATCTGGAAAAATATCTGGGAGATAGAAGCGTGCATGGTTAAGCGCTGAAATGATACGCGGGTCACTTGAATTTTGCTTCATCAGCAATTGAGCATGGTCTAAAGGCAGGACATTCATATCATCAATGTTTAGGATTTGGATTGTAGCTCTGCCAGCCGGGTTTAATGTAAACCACATTGAGATTGCTGGGTAACTGAGTGAATCCGTCACCACATGAAATACTATTGTTTCCGGTTCCTGCAAGCAGCAATATAAAACGGTAAATTACGTGTGGCTTCAGCAGAAATTTGGAAATATTCTCTTTCATGCATAAACCAAACCCAAAGTTTGGATCAGAAGACAGATCTTGCATTAACAAGTGGCTCAAGAAAACGATATGAAATAGTGTACGCTGCTCGAAAATTGATTAACAGTGATAAATGAGTCACAATATGGGTCAGAGATTTTGAATCACGAAAACATAGAACAACCGAAGGTTTCTCAACATTAATCAGAAAAACAAAGTTGCTCATCGAACAAAGAGCACACAAAATGTAAATTCCTTTTCCTAGTTTCAAACCGAACAAAATCCTATGGTATAACCGAACAACTTGCGATGGTATCAACTACGGTAGAAGCCTAAAGCATTTGTCTAGATATCAAATCACAAGTATGAAGGAACTGAACCAGGACATGTTGAAGGATTGAGAACAAAAGTGAAGCATCTACCTTTGAAGAGGAGATTGTAGAGTTGACAACAACCGCACAGGCCAGAACATTGTCAGAGAAGACGACGTAATGGTAGAGATCAGGATTATTATAACCTTGGTTAAAAAGCTGCCTTTTTTCATGGTCCAGGGTAAAGTATTCTGTTGTCAACCTCATTGAGAGACAATGAAGACCTTTTGGGGTAGTCCTAGCTGCAAGCTGCATTAAATTTGATGCTTGCTTCTTCTGAGCCCGAGCTTGTTCTTCAGCTTTATAAGTCATGGCATGGAGTTTGGTAGCAATGGCAGGGCAGTTGTGAAAGACACGACTGACCTTGTATAAAGCAATTTCCATGGCCTTCAATCTTTGAGGAGAGCTAAAAGAAACAAAACATTCTTGTATGACTCTTCAAAAAAAAAAGCACAGGTTTTATGTTTAAAATTTTCCCTCCCCGGTGAAACAAGATCAGCCTGTTTGTTTATTTTACCGTGGAAACACTAGAAACTAATTAGATGCCAAAGCAATCTACTGGATGGAACAGGAATCCTTTTGACTCAATCAGCTGTGCTTACCTCTTAGACAAATATTTATCTTTGGTGACATCACCGACAGCCCGTTCCAGCTCTTTTGTTCGAACTCTCAACTCCTTCACTATTTGGGAGTTATTCCCAGGTAGGGCCAAATTCAGATAGGCTTTTGCTTGGATGATTTTGTCTCTGATTTCTTTTACCCTCTCATCTGTTGCCCTTTCAGGCTGGACCCTTGTATTCTTTTCATTCTTAAGAAGAGGGGGTTGGAATTCAGTTCTATGATTAAGTTGAATATATCTGGCAGGAAATTTCTCCTGAGAGAAAAGAAAAAGAAAATAAAAGAGTTCAAAATTAAAGCATATGATCTGACTATCTTGATGCATAGTCTAATTTGGGTTTCCTATTCACAAGTGTTTTGCAGGGCCATGGACGGAAGTGTCCTGTGATTTGATTTTAAGATCCTAGGATAATCATTGTGAATTGCTTGAAAACCTAATCACTACACAATTTCGTTTTATCTTCAAAACGACTGAATTAAAATATGCGCACATCTGCATCAGAGCTTACTGTCGTTTGCTGTGAAACTACTGCTTGTTCCTCCTTAGTTGTGTCATTCTTTCCTGAAACCCAGGGTATCTACAGATAATAAAGCTTCCACAATAATGACAACAAAACAAAATAAGACAAGATCAGAAATATATGACCCCCACCAATTTCTGAGAGATATTTTTGTTTGTCTCCCTCATTAGACTGCGAAGCATCACGACTTTTATTAGAGGAACTGGACCAAACCACAGGATTAAACTCCTCCTGATCATGTAGAATTCGTTTAAGCTCCTTGAAGCCTTCTCTGTCCTAAAGTACAAAGCAACCCAATTTCAACAAAATGAATGCTCTCAAACAAGGTTTAGTTAAGGAGATGAGTGACAGTGAACAGAACCTGTTCAGTAGCGGTAAGTCTAGGGTCATCATTCGTCATAAATCCCTGCAGAATAGAGGTAGCATCTCAGTTATTCATTTCTCGAGAAAATCAAACAAAAAACTGGATAATAAAGCAAAGTTACGATCTGAAATCATGGCACAATCAAACACAAATACTGAAGAGTTCCTGGAAATGGTTTAGAAGAGAAGAAAGCAGGGAATAAAGCACAGGATAATACGTACAATGTCGGATAACTCTTCGATGAATTCTCCTCTATCTGCCAGTAAACAAAATCAAAAGCAACTTTCAGATGCGTAATCCAAAAGCTGAGACCACATCAAACACAGATATCTCCCGATAGTGATTCCAGAGATTCAATAAACGCAATCGAGCAACTCTACACTATACTATATGGCCATATCCATCAATCTAACATCCGCGAGACGAAAATAGACAGCGAATTCGAAGAAACCGAACAAGATGAGCGAGAAGAAGCTCACCGACGGAAGTGATGCTCTTGAGGCGATTCGAAACGAAAACAATCGGAGCGAAGACGGATAACAATAGCAGCGAGAGGATCAAAATCCTCTGCCAACGACGTGCTTGATTCATCAATGTGCGACACTTCTCTCTCAGAGAGCTCTTCGTTTGTAATCTCCCTTTTCGTTAATCGTTCTCCATGAAGAAGAAGAAGCACATCAGAGAGGGAAAACACACAGATCTCGGGAGATTCTCTGCTTGATTAACAAGCAATCAATGAAACGATGAAACAGATTAGATTAGGGTTTCCATTTAATTGGTTTCGTTTCGTCTAATGTGAGACGCGTTTATCTCTCGGGATTCAGAGCTTCCTCGTGCATGTTCTCGTCTAATACAGAAAAATGTATCAACAATGATATTGATGCGTTTGGCAATAAAACAATTATATAGATTATAATTATTTTAGTTAGGAAAATATGCAAAAATCGTGTTAAGTAATAAAAAAAATGTGATCTATAAAGCAACCAAATTTTTTTTCATCTAACTAAAAATTATAATTTTGATTCTTGACAAAAAATGAAATAATTTTTTGAGAGTTAAAATAATTTAACGTTTGATCTTTTACTTAAACAAAATTATGATTTCACTTTTTTTTTTACCAATTTTCAGTTTATAAGACGCATGATTGATTAAATTTCCCAACTAATTTTTGTTTTTTTTATTGTCAAACAGAGTTTATTTTAAGAATAACTTAATTTGTTTTTCAAATGTTTGTGGTGTGAGAATAATATATTTATTTTCTCATAAATTATGATATATAATTATGTGTTGATGTGAATTTTATATTTCTGAAATATATTTTTATTTTATGTTAAACTGATGTTATATAAAGTTTTGTTAAATTTTTTAAATATAGTAATTTCATAAATCAAAATAATTTTTTTAACACTGCATTTTTA